CTTATGAAATTTTTTCATGAAATTGTTTAATCTTGTGAAATTGTTTCATATAATACTTTTTTTGATGAAGTTGTTTCATATATGGTTGTGAAGTTGTTTCATATAATACTTAATGAAACTGTTTCATGTATTTCTCTAACATTAATGAAACAGTTTCATGTATTTCTCTAGAATTAAAATAATGAAGATGATAATATCTATGATTAACACTCTCCACAATAAAAATGATTAATCAACCTCTCATAATTACAAAAAAATGAACAAAATGAAAAATTATGATTGGTTGAATGCGGTTTGCACGGTTTGTACAAATTGAGTGGTTTGCATTTGATCGCTCCCCTGTATATGTATATATATGGATGTTCAAACAAGAACTTATGGCGAGAACAATCTTTTAATTTTAAACTTTTTTAATTAATAAATTAATTTATATTCAATATAAATATGTCAATAAGAGGAGTAAAGTATTTTTTTATAATTTTTATTTTTATTTTAATTAATTATTTTTATTGTATGATTGTGTTACCATAACCTATTAAAACCATGATTAATCGAATGTAACCATAATCTATCGAAATCATGAGTAATCGTTGTGATAAATTTGTGATTGTCTAGCCCTAACCGATCGTGATATCACATGATTATCACATACATATCACACCAAATCGTTTAGTCGATTTTGCCCGTAATCGTTGTGATAAATGTGTGATTGTCTAACCCTAAACGATCGAAACCATGATCAAATCGAGTGCGACTTTGAGCAAGTGATGTTATAATAGTGATATCACATGATTATCACATCCATATCACACCAAATCGTTTAGTCGATTTCGCCCGTAATCGTTGTAATAAATGTGTGATTGTCTAACCCTAACTGATCGAAACCATGATCAAATCGAGTGCGACTATGAGCAAGTGATGCTATAATAGTGATATCACATGATTATCACACCAAATTTTTTAGTCGATTTTGCTCATAATCGTTGTGATAAATGTGTGATTGTCTAACCCTAACCGATCGAAACCATGATCAAATCGAGTGCGACTATGAGCAAGTGATGTTATAATAGTGATATCACATGATTATCACACCAAATCTTTTAGTCGATTTCGTTCGTAATCGTTGTGATAAATGTGTGATTCTCTATTCCTAATCGAATGAAAGCATATTCAAATCGAGTAATAGTGACATATACCTTGAATAAACTGTGTTCTATGGCTTCTTCTTACTGTTCGATTCCTGCATGCAAACCTTACGGCTTCTTCTTGTTGTTCGATTCTTGCATCCAAACTTTGTGGCTTCTTGATATTCGATTTCTCCTTGAAATCCTTTCGATACCTTCTTCTCGATTTGAATAAACGATAAGTGTTGAAATAAGTTGATAATTCAAATAAGTGATCGTGTTTAAAATTTTATCATTTTGATTTCCAATAAAACTCTTTTGACTCTCAAATTTTTTTGAATTGTTTTAAATTTAAATTTWAATTAATTTTTTTTATTTTTATTGTTATCATAATATGAGGTTAATAAGTTGTTTTCATGTTCTTGTAAATTACAGGAGAGTTCTCATTTGAACATTCCATATATATAGTGCAACGTTAACGGGTAAGATTCTTGATTTTTTTATCATATTCATCCGATGAAATAATGTGTCTTAGTAAACGCTTACTTTGGTAAATGATCCCTAACTCTTAGATCAAATTTAGTGTAATAACTAGTACGATATCGAATTTAGTGCAACGTTATTCATTTACATTAAAATTTGCACTCATAGAAGAAAATAAATAAATAAATATATATATATATATATATATATATATAACATATTTTATTTAGGTGTAAAATTTGAAGTTATCATATCAGAATTTATTTTACGTTTCCACCAAAATTTACATTAATATCAAAATTTACACCAAATTTATAAAACGTTAGCGTAAATTTTGGTGGAAAAGTAAAAATTCTTCTCATATATCAACTTCAAATTTTACACCAAAATAAAATATTATATATATATATATATATATATATCTTTTTATCTTCTTATATTACCGTAAATTTTAGTGTAAATGAATAGCTTTATACTAAATTTGATATCTTACTAGTTATTACACCAAATTTAGTATAAGAATTCGATGCCGTTTACCAAACGCTTACTTGGGTAAGCGTTTATTAAGTCACATTATCTTACCGGATGAATATGTTAAAAATCGAGAATCTTATCCAGTAATAACGAGACAAAGACAAAGAGTTTCATAAGTTGTATTTTTAAAATCATTTTAATATATAAAGTTAAAATATTACATATATATATATATAGGGAAGAGTTCAAACAAGAACACTTTCATTTTACGAGAACACGATCTTTTTATTATAGACAATCACATGTGGTACTAAATCAGAGACACGGACGATTTTCGATGCGATTTTGGTTGCGGGTCAAGTCGCCCTTACACCACTAAGCCCCCCTCACATGTATTATAACATGTGATAAGGGTGTTGTTGATGTGATACTATAATCTATCAAGACCATCAGATGTGATGCTAAATCATACACACAGACAACCTTTGGCGCGGGTTAAATCGTAGAATATGTCGTCCACACATCATAAGGTCACCTCACACATATTATCACATATGAGGGTGTTTTTGCGTTCTCATTTAAACCTCTATATATATATATATATATTCCTACAAGAAGTACAGCCACTTCGTTGTTCATAATCTTTAAACTCCATCACCCCTTTCTTTTCCCTCTCTCTCTCTCTCTCTCTCTCTCTCTAAATCTTGAAAACCCATCTCAAAATCCACCATTCTTTCTACTTGAAAAACAACAAGAGATTAAACCCATCAAGATTCCGCCATGGATGACCCTTTCAGACCACCACATTCTCACTTTTATTCCGGTGGTTCCACCAGAAGCGGTTCCAGTGGTTCAACCAGCAAAAGAAAGATTACCGAATCAGAAGAAGAAGATGTCGACATTACCGGTCTTTCTACACCAACCAAACGTCATCAAACCGAATCATCGTGGACCCGAAAAGAAACCGAAGATACCGCCGCCACCACCACCACCACCACCAGTATTTCACGTCGATGGAATGAACAAACCAGACCCAGTCCTTGTCCATGGAGGAGAGAAGAGATTAATCTTTTGAAGGGCATTCTTGACTTTTATCACACTAATGGGAGATACCCATATCCTGACTCTAATGACCTGCAAAATTTCTTCATAAATTGGGTCCAAGAACGTGGGTTTTATCGCGATGCTATGGATTTGAACAGAAAAATGGAGAGTTTGAACCTAAGATTCTTGACGAATACGGAGAAGAAATCGAATGGTGAAGATATTGAAGCTAATATGGATCCTACTGAGAGAGAAATCTTCCGATTATCAAATAGGGTTTGGGGTAGAGAAAACGATGATGATGCGATGATGGTGGATTTGATCCAAATGATGTAAAAGATTTATGTGAACGAGAAACGGGTGATGATCGAACAATAACGAAGATGGATCTTCGGATTCATAGAATATGTACGTATCGTCAATCAATTTTTGCATTCGGGTTTTTGGTTTTTAAGGGTTTATATATAGCATTGATCATAGTGGCACTACTAGAAAACTGGGCATTTCTGGCGGACAATTTCCGCCGGAAATTTTCCCGCGGAATATAAAAAAATCAACTTTTGTTGACTTCCGCCGGAAAATTTAAACCGGTTATATTTCCGGTGGATTTCCGGCGGATTTATTAATTAAGGGTTAATTAATCTTTAAAAATTAATTAATATTTGAAAAAAAATGGAAAAAGATTTTACCGGCGGATTACCGGCGGATAGATCCGCCGGAAATGTTTAAAAATTCAAAAAAAATAAATCCGCCGGAAATCCGCTGGAAATAGTTTTAGAAAAATAATATTTAAAAAATTAAAAAAAAAACCCTTTTAGAAAAATAAATTTAAAATAAATCCGCCGGAAATCCGTCGGAAAAATTTTTAGAAATTTTTTTTAAAAAAATCCTTTAAATTTTTCTGGCGGACAAAATCCGCTGGAAATTTAAAAAATTAAAAAAAATTAAAAAAATAAATCCGCCGGAAATCCGCGGAGGACAGTGGCCGGAGAGAGGAGAGTTTTAAAATACCAAAAATATCCTTGCATTAAGATT